ACATAATACAGGAGATGACCAAAAGACTGCGGACATAGTACAGGAGATGACCAGAGACTGCGGACATAGTACAGGAGATGACCAGAGACTGCGACATAGTACAGGAGAATGACCAGAGACTGCGGACATAGTACAGGATGACCAGAGACTACGGACATAGTACACAAGGAGATGACCAGAGACTGCAGACATAGTACAGGATGATGACCAAAGACTGCGGACATAATACAGGAGATGACCAAAGACTGAGCGACATAATACAGGAGATGACCAAAGACTGCGGACACAGTACAGGAGATGACCAGAGACTGCGGACACAGTACAGGAGATGACCAAGACTGCGGACATAATACAGGAGATGACCAAAGACTGCGACATAGTACAGAGATGACCAGAGACTGCGGACAATAGTAACAGGAGTATGACCAGAGACTGCGGACATAGTAACAGACATGACAGAGATGAACCAGAGACTGCGGACATAGTACAGGAGTATGACCAGAGACTGCGACATAATACAGGAGATGACCAGAGACTGCGGACATAATACAGGAGATGACCAAAGACTGCGGACATAGTACAGGAGATTTGACCAAAGACTGCGGACATAGTACAGGAGATGACCAAGACTGCGGACACAGTACAGGAGATGACCAGAGACAGCAGACATAAGTACAGGAGAATGATCACAGACTGCAGACACAGTAACAGGAGATGACCGGAGAATTGCGGACATAGTACAGGAGAAGGGGCGGACTGACAACTCATGGGCCCTGGCAATAGGGGATCATGGGGCCCTTGTGTCCCTGCCCAAACTCAAAAAAAGCCTATGAAAAAGGTACCAGGGCATCTCATAGGGCCCCCTACTAAACCCGGGCCCTCGGGCAGTGCCCAAGTTTTCCAAATGTTCAGTCCGCCCCTGTAACAGGAGATGACCAGAGATTGCAGACATAGTAACAGGAGATGACCGGAGCCTGCAGACATAGTACAGGAGATGACCAGAGACTGCAGATGTACTACAGGAGATGACCAGAGACTGCGGATATAGTACAGGAGATGACCAGAGACTGGGGACATGGTACAGGCGAATGACCAGAGACTGCGGAAGTACTACAGGGATGATGACCAGAGACTGCGGATATAGTACAGCTGGAGATGACCAGAGCCTGCAGACATAGTACAGGAAGATGATCAGAGACTGCGGACATAGTACAGGTGGATGACCAGAGGGACTGGGACATAGTACATGGATCATGACCAGAGACTGGGGACATAGTACAGGAGATGACCAGAGACTGGTGACATAGTACAGGAATGACCAAGACTAGGGGACACAGTACAGGCGATGACCAGAGACTGCGGACATAGTACAGGAGATGATAATCAGAGCCTGCGGACATAGTACAGGAGATGACCAGAGACTGCGGACATAGTACAGGGATGACCAGAGACTGCGGACATAGTACAGGAGATGACCAGAGACTGCAGATGTACTACAGGAGATGACCAGAGACTGCGGATATAGTACAGGAGAGACCAGAGACTGCGGATTATAGTACAGGAGATAAGACCAGAGACTGGGGACATATAGTACAGGAGATGATCAGAGCCTGCAGACACAGCACAGGGGATGACCAGAACTGGCAGACCTTTGGGGAGCAGGTACCGTCCAAATTTGACAGTACCCGCTCCCGACTTCCGCGGCAGTTGTCCTCCCCTCCCCGTAGTCTTGTGGGACACATGACAGGTCCCGCCCAGAAGACTACGGGGTCCATTCACAAAAGCGCAGCGCTTCACTCTCACGAGCATGCGCAATGGGCAACCTGTCTGTGAGGAGAGAAGTTGATGAGGACACCACTGGACCAAGGAGCAGGTAGGACCAAGAACAGGTTTCTGCTGCAAAACAAAAGAGCCGAGCAGGGTCGCCGTGCCCGGTATTCCAACTCTAACACGATGCCGGGTGGGGGGAATACCGGCCGCCTATGACCATATTCTATCGATAAGAGCATGCACAGAAATTTTCCTTCCCCGGGACTTGTGACATCCTTGGCTCTCAGGGTATTCCCAACCATGCTGTAAGTGTGATGAAGTAAGGTAGACTTTGATGGGGACCTCAATGGGGAAAGTCATGTAAGGGGGAACTGCAGTGGAATTAATGATATAAAAGGGGACTCTGATGGGGGACTTTGATGTAAGGATGGCCTCTAATGGGGACCCTGATGTAAGATGGACTCTGATTTAATGGGGGTCCCTAATGTAATAGGGGGATTTTTTTGGGGGGACCCTGATGTAAGGGGGGGACTCTGATGGGACTTTGATGTAAGGATGGCCTCTAATGGGGAAACCCTGATGTAAGATGGACTCTGATTTAATGGGGTCCCTAATGTAATAGGGGATTTTTTGGGGGGGGACCCAGATGGGACTATAGGGGGGACCTCTGATTGGACTTTGGGGGGCCTCTAATGGGGACCTGATGTAAGATGGACTCTGGAAGGGGGGGGTCCTTAATGTAATTAGGGGATTTTTTGGGGGGACCCTGATGTAAGGGGGGACTCTGAACTTTGATGGGATGGCCTCTAATGGGGACCCTATGAAAGATGGACTCTGATTTAATGGGGTCCCTAATGTAATAGGGGATTTTTTTGGGGGGGGGACCCTGATGTAAGGAGGGCTCTGATGGGGTCCCTGATATAAAGGGGCACCCTGATGTAAGGGAAGACTTTCATGGGACTTCTGATGCAAGGGGAACTTTAATGGGGACCCATGATGTAAGAAGGGCTCTGATGGGGTCCCTTAAATAAAGGGGCACCCTGATGTAAGGGAAGACCTTCATGGGACTTCTGATGCAAGGGGAACTTTAATGGGGACCCTGATGTAAGGAGGGGCTCGGATCGGGTCCCTGATATAAAGGGCACCCTGATGTAAGGAGGGCTCTGATGGGGTCCCTGATATAAAGGGGCACCCTGATGTAAGGGAAGACTTTCATGGGACTTCTGATGCAAGGGGAACTTTAATGGGGACCATGATGTAAGAAGGGCTCTGATGGGGTCCCTTAAATAAAGGGCACCCTGATGTAAGGAAGACCTTCATGGGCTTCCAGATGGGGTCCCTGATATAAAGGGCACCCTGATGTAAGGAGGGCTCGGATGGGGTCCCTGATATAAAGGGCACCCTGATGTAAGGAGGGCTCTGATGGGGTCCCTAATATAAAGGGGCACCCTGATGTAAGGGAAGACTTTCATGGGACTTCTGATGCAAGGGGAACTTTAATGGGGACCCTGATATAAGGAGGGCTCTGATGGGGTCCCTGATATAAAGGGGCACCCTGATGTAAGGGAAGACTTTCATGGGACTTCTGATGCAAGGGGAACTTTAATGGGGCCCCTGATTTAATGGGAACTCTGATGAAAGGGGGACTCTGATGGAGACCCAGTTGTAAGGGCGGGGGGGGGGGGGATGTAGATGGGCCCAAGTTTAAATTCGTTGGAATTCGTTTGCTGTGTTTTACTGAAGTTCTTTCCCTGGTGTTCTGAATCAGATCATGTTATTTAAAAAATCTCCAACTAAAGATATACACAACAATGACCAGCAATGAGTATAATATCGTTTATTACAATGACCTATATACATAAATAGTGATACATAAAATATAATCTGCAGAATTCTGGTCTCATGATCTCATTCGGCCCAATCTACTTTAAACATTTGGATTTTTCGTTCGGGTTTACAAAGATTCCTCGGACATCAACATCCGGGTCATCTTCTGTTTCCGCTCATGCGTGATAGCGCTTGATAGATTTTTTTTTTCGTACGATCGTCATACCACCGCACCGTGTTCGAAACGACAAAATTTTGCACTGTTGTTCAACCGGATATTTTCGTTCACAGTATCGTTATCGGTTAACCCTTTGAGGACCAAGGGACGTATTTGTCCCATGTTTTTAATTGCGTGTATCATCTGATTAAGAACTTAAAACTCTTTTTTTTTTTTTTTTTTCTTTTTTGGTTTGAGTCAAAAATATTAGTTCTTATCAACAAACAACAAATGGATCTAGCTTTTTGCCAATTATTTCATGAAATGGCTTAGTTACAGCAACTGAAGTGTACAAACTTTAAAAACAAAAAAATTGATTCTTTTGGCGTTCCAAAATCTTACGGTCCTCAAAAGGTTAAAACATCCTATTCATCAGCGAAGAGAAAATCGTTCGATCCGTGGTTCCACAAAATTTTTGTATGATTTTTTCTTATCGTGTGTACGGGGCATTAGGCTCTGTGCAGGGGCGGACTGACCATTTGGAAACTCGGGCACTGCCCGAGGTCCCGGGGTCAGTAGGGGGCCCCATGAGATGCCCCTGGTACCTTTTTCATAGGCTTTTTTGAGTTTGGGCAAGGACACAGGGGCCCCATGATCCCCTATTTCCCGGGGGCCCCGTGAGTTGTCAGTCCGCCCCTGGCTCTGTGTACCTACCTACAGTATTTTTAACCCACTCTGGTTTGGTCATGTGATCCTGCAGCTCCAGCTCCCCTGTGTTAGAGACTGGCGGGTGCAAAGGAGACGAGGGAATGCTGAAAATGATTGGGCCATGGGAGCCTATTTGTGACATCACCGCTCTGGGAATTCACAGCAGTTGTCAAGCGCTGCTTTACACAGGGGAGATGGAGCTGCGGGATCAAGTGACTAGACTGGAGCAGATTAAAAAGTGGCAAGTATATACAATTTTTTTTTTTTTTTTTACAGGTTATGCAGGATAGATAGGAGGAGGGGAGAGGCAAAATTTTTGGGAATAGTTAGTATTTGCCTTCACTACCCCTTTAGCATGTTAAAACGTGTATGAGATTTTAGCGATTGTGTTTATATAAAAACTTTAAATATTCGATTAAAAAATGTATATTTTAATGAAACAGATTTTTTTTTTTTTTTTTTTTTAATTCAGAATAAATAAAATCAAATGGATTCCAAAGAACTGAACTATGCCTTCCCTAAAGATCAACTACAGGAGATGAAAATGGTCTTTGAAAATGGGGATTTTTTAGAAGCTGCTGAAACCATCAAGAAATCCCTCATAGCAATCGATGACATCCCATTGAATATTGCGGTGACCGGAGAATCGGGCTCCGGTAAGTCCACCTTTATCAATGTCATCCGCGGTCTGGGGGACGAGGACGAAGGATCTGCTAAGACCGGAGTTGTTGAGACAACAGTGGTGGCCACAGCTTACTCACATCCCACACATAGAAGTGTGAAATATTGGGACCTTCCAGGTATAGGGACAGCACGTTTCAATCCAAATAAATATCTGGAATTAGTTCATTTGACTCAGTTTGACTTCTTTCTCATCATCACATCGGAACGCTTTAGAGATTGTCATATTCAATTGGCTCAGGCCATCAACAACATGGGGAAGAAGTTTTACTTTGTCAGAAGTAAAATTGATGCCGATTTAAATGCTTTCAGAAGACAGAGAAAAAGCAGCTACAACGAGGACCAAATACTAAGGGAAATTCGGAACAACTGCATTAAGGGACTCTTTGATGGAGGAATCCTGTGTCCTCGAGTCTTCCTTCTCTCGTGCTTGGAGATAGAAAAATATGACTTCTACCTCATGCAGAAAACTTTGGAAAATGAGCTTCCAAGTCAAAAGAGACACGTGTTCCTTCTATCATTACCCAACATCTACTTCCAGGCTCTGGAGAGTAAAAGAGATGCTTTTAGAAACCAGATATGGAAACAAGCCCTCACCTCAGCAGCAAAAGCCTCAATCCCCATTCCAGGACTCTCGCTTGATGGGGATATTGACCTCTTGGTGAGCACTATGAAGGAATACAAGGAGGCTTTTGGACTGGACCAAAGATCTCTGAACGGTCTGGCCAAAACCTTTGGTAAAGACATCCATGAGTTGAGGTCCGTGATCCGATCCAAGCTGGTCTTGAAGGACATTACATATGACCTTGTTGTCAGCTTGTTGAAAAGACGAGAACTGACTGCGGCTGCACTCATGGTAACAGACTATGCAGCTGGGACGGTGCCTCTGATTGGAAGTGTGGTTGCCGGAGCTGTGGCCTTTGGTACGGCGTACTGGTTGCTCTATAGCTTCCTGAAAGACATTGCTGATGATGCTGCGAGAGTCCTATCAAGGGCATTGGAAAATACTGTGTAACATGGATCTAATGCTGCTGAAGTATTTTGCTCCTCAGGCGGCTCATGAAATGTTCTCATATACGTTATTTGCTGTTTTATAACTACAATATTTACTCATTTTTAAAGTAGGATTGATTAATGGCTGAGGGTGCAGCCTAGGGTGTTGGTTTACATGCAATGAATGCGCGAACACATTCTTTATTAACCACTTCAAGTCCAGACCAGGGGCGGATTGACAACTCATGGGGCCCCCGGACAATAGGGGATCATGGGGCCCCTGTGTCCTTGCCCAAACTCAAAAAAAGCCTATGAAAAAGGTACCAGGGGCATCTCATGGGGCCCCCTACTGACCCCGGGCAGTGCCCAAGTTTCCAAATGGTCAGTCCGCCCCTGCACATGACTACCCCCCAATTGTGCCATCTGACCTTAGTAGAATATGGAGAACTGTTCCCACATGGAAGAAATTTGAAATATATTTGAAAATACTACAATTTTGGCCATAAAATTTGCAATATAAAGAAGCCAAAAAAAAAAAATCTCCAAAAGGCATCAAATACAGATTAGACATATATATATGTCAACAAAAGTTAGATTTTATTTCCATCATTTACACTTTCAAAATAACAGAAAACAAAAAAATGGCGTTTGCAAAAGTTTGGGCACCCTGCAGAGTTAATATCTTGTCCCTTGGCTTCTTTATGCACATTAATACAAATGTTTAGCTGGGGTGCCCAAACATTCGATCCCCACTGTATATATTTATATATATTTTGCATGTTGAAATGCATTTTTATTATAAAATATATGAAAAATATTTTTTGAAGCCTATAAAATAGGTACCAGGGGCATTTTATGGGGCCCCTTACTGACCTCGGGCCCTCAGGCAGTGCCTGAGTGACTGAATGGTCAGTCCGCCCCTGGTCCAGACACTTTCCCCCCCTTCCAGTCCGGACACTTCCACCCACTTCCTGTCCAGGCCAATTTTCAGCTTTCAGCGCTATCACGCTTTGAATGACAATTGCGTGGTCATGCAACACTGTACCCATATGAATTAGCATTTTTTTGAGACAGATAAAACTTTCTTTTGGTGGTATTTATTTACCACTGAGATTATTTTTTTTTTGCTATATAAATGAAAAAGTCCAAAAATTTTGAAATTTTTCTTACAAAATTTTGCAAATAAATAATCTTCATAAATCTTGGCCAAAATGTATTCAATTATCTTTTTAGTAAAAAAAAAAAAAACAACTAGTTTATAACCAAAAATTTGTTTTTAAATTTTTTTTTACATTATTATTTTTTTTTTTTACATACTGACACCCTAGCAGTACAGTGTCACCCTAGTGACACTGTACTACTTGTGGGGGGTGATGAAGATTTTTTTTTTTTTATACACGGATTGCTTTTACACCCATAAAGGCTGCAAAAGCAATCATTTCTCCTCTCTGGCTGCATTCTTGCAGCCACTGAGAAATGCTGTGAGAGCTGTGATTGGTCACAGCTTGTCACATGGTACAAGGTTGTTGTGCATAGCCTTGTACCATGTGACCTCTATCATTCACAGATTTCACAAGTAGTAAGCAATGAGGTCAGAAGTGACATCTTGCTTACTACTCTTCATGCGATCACTGATTGGCCAATCAGTGATCACATGATCGGGACCTCACGCAGAGGTCTCATACAACAATCGGTGTTCCACTGTGTCCGGAGGACACAGTGGGCACCGGATCACGGTGCTGCATGCTTCCAGGGAGTGCTCACAAGCAGGGAAGTGGGGAGGACATTTAAAAACGTCCACCCGCCCCTGCATTGCTCCTGTCCGGCTGTTTATATACATGGGCCGGATGGGAACTGGTTTCAGGATATGTTTAATTTTCTTACCTCCAATACTCCATTGTCCATCTTCGCAAAGCCTACTTTCTATATTATCCATCAAAATATACTAATATACATTTGCAAAAAATGGCTATTTTCGGAATTACTCCTTTTGACAGGGAGAGTGAGGATGATTCTTGATTGGGTGTCTGGCCTATTGTGTTTGTTTTAGATGATCTGTTCATATCTCTACATCGGTCTACCTCGTACCCTCCATTCTCCATCTTAGCAAAGACTTCCTTCTTTATTGTCCATTGAGTGAGTATTGCTAGCAGCTATAGCCGTCAGCATTCACTTCCTGTAGGCCACTTCCCAGAAACCTGAGAGACCATCTACAGGAAATGATGCAATCTGAAAATCTGTTCAGAGTCTCACACAAACTGAGAGCAAATTAAACGTCCTGTGGATGAGAAACGCATTGCACTTTGATGACGTCAGATGCCACACGCGCTGATCCCGGACATCTTGGAGACTCTTCCAGGCTTCACCATCGATGCTGCATATGCACAGCACCATCTGCTGGCAGACACCTTGGAGATTCCACCAGGCTTGCCATCCATGTTGCACATGCAGAGCATCACCTGCTGGTGGACCTAATTGATCTCCTCTCTGGATCAGTGACACAATATCTGGCTGTAGACATCTCACCCTCTTACCCATGAGCCTGTTTTTATATTCTAAGATGTGAGTTACTACTTATCTTTCTATTAAATACCTTCACAGGTAGAGGAGCTGTCTTTCCTTGTTTCCCTTTACTGCATATACAGACTGATTTTACTATGGGGGTTTAGTAACACTTTAAAAAGTTGAAAACTCTAGGATCTCTTGATACCAAGCCAAGGTCAAGTAGTCCAAGAAAGATTGCAGCCACAACTGCCAGAAGAATTGTTCGGGATACAAAGAAAAACCCCACAGGTAACCTCAGGAGAAATACTGGGTGCTCTGGAAAAAAGACGGCGTGGTTGTTTTTAAGGAGCACAAAACGATGGTACTTGAACAAAAATGAGCTGCATGGTCGAGTTGCCAGAAAGAAGCCTTACTGCCACAGTGAGGCGTGTCAAGGTGTTGTCAGGCATATTGTAACTAGGCCTTTTTTGTGTGGCATTGATGCAGTAAAGGCTTCTTTCTGGCAATTCGACCATGCAGCTCATTTTTGTTCAAGGTTCATCGTTTTTGTGCTCCTTAAAAACAACCATGCCGTATTTTTCCGGAGCACCCAGCATTTCTCCTGAGGTTACCTGTGGGGTTTTTTCTTTGTATCCCGAACAATTCTTCTGGCAGCTGTGGCTGCAATCTTTCTTGGGCTACTTGGCCTTGGCTTGGTATCAAGAGATCCTAGAGTTTTCCACTTCTTAAAGTATTGTGCTCCTTACAAAAAACAAAAAAAAAAAAAAAGATTGTCTTTTTCCAGAGCAGCCTGTATTTCTCCTGAGGTTACCTGTGGGGTTTTCTTTGTATCCCGTGTGTGTATCCCGTGTATGTCGTGTGTGTATCCCGTGTATGTCGTGTGTGTATCCCGTGTACCCCCGTGTATGTCGTGTGTGTACCCCGTGTATGTCGTGTGTATGTCGTGTGTACCCCGTGTATGTCGTGTGTACCCCGTGTATGTCGTGTGTGTATGTCATGTGTACAGCAGGTTTAGAGGTAAGAGATACCAGAAATGAAAGCTTCCCACCGCGGACTGAAAATTACGAACGTCACAGACAGAAGAAAATAGACAAAAATTAAGAAATTCAAAACAATTCTATTGGTAGAAAAAATGACTGGTATAATGAAACTTGCAAAAAGGCAAAGTTACACTTTAATCAACTCCTGCAAAATATATAAAATACAGTTTGCCCAGAAATATGCTTTTATATACACATACATCCTACACACAAAATCGCATGCATACGTACAGACACTATGGGGTTTATTTACTAAAGCTGGAGAGTCCAAAATCAGACTCCCTTCTGCATAGAAACCAATCAGCTTCCAGGTTTCATTGCCAAAGCTTCATTGAACAAGCTGAGGTTAGAAGCTGATTGGTTTCTATGCAGAAGGGAGTCTGATTTTGGACTCTCCAGCTTTAGTAAATAAACCCCTATATTTCATTGAAGTTTTTCTAGGTTCATTTTAGTGCATTACATCTTTTACTGCCATTGTGAAGTCTAAGGCTCCATGTACACTGCAGCTGATAAACTCACGTTTAGGAGCTTTTCTGCGTTTTTTTTCAGCAGCCCCCGAACTCTCCCTAATGTTTCCCTATGTGTCCATGTACACATCGTCCTTTACAGGCAGTTGAGTTTACAGTTGTTTTTTTTTTGAACGCACCAAACTTGCGTTCAGGAGTAGATTTTATCAGCGTTTCAAAACGCCAAACGTGTGTAAACGCGGCTAAAAGCGTTTGCAAAATTTTTTTAACTCTTCCATTTCCAGATGCTGTCCACAGCCTTTTTTCATCATGAAAACTGCATGCAAAGCATTTTCCCGGTACTCCAATGGACCCGGTACACCCCTACTTGGAGGTTTTGCATGAAAATATGTCAGACACCGCTACAATAATTGCTGCACAGAAATGAGCCAGAACACATCCAAACACCACAAAATAAAAAAAAAAAAAAAAAAAAGACAACTAATCTCAATAAATACTACTCTCTCTGCTTCTGCTCTCTCTATTTCTCTCAAAATGTCTGAAATAATTATTTTTTTTACTGTTTTTCAGTGCATTCTGGGCACTTGGGAAGGTCTCCTGAGGTTATCTTTAAAAAAATATTCTAAACACAAACGCTCATAAATGCAGCTAAACAGACATTTTTGAACCTCCGTTTTCCAGCAGTCAGTTTCCATCGTTCAGAAGTGTCCCGTGTATATGGAGCCTTAAGATTTTGTTATACAATGTAAATAAATATAACCTGTAGATGTCTTAAATTAAACAGCAGGTGACTTTCCACAGTCTGTACGCTGTACACAGATCACTGCGACAAGGAATCAGAAGCAGCAACTAGAATAAATCTACCTGATGAAACATTGAGGATGATCTACTACTGGAGAGGGAAAATCTGGTGCAATTCTGCGTAGAAACCAATCAGCTTCCAGTTTTTTTTTTTTTTGAAAGCTTAAAGCGGAGTTCCACTCACCCTGTCAAAAAATAAAAATCAGCAGCTACAAAAACTGTAGCTGCTGACTTTGAAAAAATAGCAACTTACCTGTCCCTCGGTCCCGTGGTGTGTCCCCTGCAGCTTCACAGCCGGGTACCCACTGCACATGCGCGAGTAGAGCTGGGCTTTGTGAATATTTCTGTAGTCTTCTGGGACCTGTCACGTGTCCCAAAAGACTACAGGGAGGGAGGGAGGACACCTTCTGTTTCCGATCGCCTAGGTGATCGGACCAAAAGTTGGAGCGGGTGTCTGTCAAAATCGGGTACCCGCTCCCCAAAGGTGCCAATCCTTAATGGGGAGCGGGGGAGCAGTCCTTAACCACTTCCCGACCGGCCGTTGCATATAAACGACCGGACGGTGGCAGTGCAGGGTCGGGTGGCCGTTTATAAACGGCCTCTCCGCACCCTGCTTGTGCGCGCTCCCTCGGAGTGCGCAGCACCGCGATGCGGTGCCCGCTGTGTCCTCCGGACACAGTGAAACACCGATCGCCGGACGGGACCTCTGTACGAGGTCCCGATCATGTGATCGCTGATTGGCCAATCAGTGATCACATGCGAAGTAGTAAGCAAGATGTCACTTGTGACATCATTGCTTACTACGTGTGAAATCTGTGAATGATCACAGAGGTCACATGGTACAAGGCTATTCACAACAAGCTTGTACCATGTGACAAGCTGTGACCAATCACAGCTCACTCAGTACTTCTCAATGGCTGCAAGAATGCAGACAGAGAGAAAGAAAAATGATTGCTTTTACATCCTATATGGGTGTAAAAGGAATCAGTGTAAAAAAAAAAAAAAAATCTTCATCACCCCCCACAAAGTAGTACAATGTCACCATGGTGACACTGTACTGCTAGGGTGACAGTATGTAAAAAAATAAAAATAAATAAAAAATAATAATAATAAAAAAAATAAAATAAAAATGTAAAAAAAAAATGTTTAAAAATTATAATTTTTGGTTATAAACTAATTTGGATTTTTTTTTTTTACTAAAAAAGATAACGGAATAAATTTTGGCAAAGATTTATGATGAAATATTATTTATTTGCAAAATTTTATAAAAAAAAAACTTTTTTTCAAAATTTTTGGACTTTTTCATTTTACATAGCAAAAAAAAAAAAAATCCCAGCGGTGAATAAATACCACCAAAATAAAGCTTTATCTGTCTCAAAAAAAATGGTAAAAAATTCATTTGGGTACAGTGTTGCATGACCGCGCAATTGTCATTCAAAGTGTGATAGCGCTGAAAGCTGAAAATTGCACTGGTCAGGAAGGGGGTAAAAGTGTCCGGTCTGGAAGGGGTTAAAGCGGTACTTTCCCGTTTTGGGTGGAGCTCCGCTTTAAGTCCTCGTGCACACACGGGACGTTTTGATAACGTCACGTTAAAAACGTGAGTTTTCGCACCTTTGCTTTAGGGGGGTGTGGCTTGGCTGGTACCCTTGTACCTGTATTTTGGGCTTGTCCTGGTCTTTCCTTGATCTGGCGTAGGATTTCGGAGGCGGCTTCCGCTTTGGCGAATTCTCCGGTGGATTTTTCCTTGCAAATTTGCTGACTGGCTTATATCACTTTCGGCGATCCCAGGTAACCAAAATGAGGCCGATTCCCACTATCTGTGATTCTATCCTATGGGCCATTGCCCTTTATTGGACGTCTCCAGTGGTCCCTTTGGCTTCTGTCTTACGGGGAGTTGACATGGGTACGCTTATGGACCGTATTCAATATACGTTGCTGGATAGGATGCATTTGTTCCACAGCAAATGGGATGGTTGGACACTCATCGACACTCATTCGATGGATGGTCTATCATGGATTTTTGGATCGAACCTTTTATTGATCTTGTGGTTGTTCTGCCGATATCATTGTCTACCTCTTTCATGTACTGTTTTTTTTAATACTTTCATGATTGTACTTTGTATTTCTGTTCAGTTCTCATGTTTTTTTTTAAAGCTGTTTATTCTACCTCACTAAATGATGCAGTTTTTGTAGTCTATTTCCTAATAAAAACGTTTGTAAAAAAAAAAAAAAGTGAGTTTTCAGCTTTTTTTTTAACCATTTTTGCATTAGCGTTTAGCGGAGTTTTCCCATGTTTGTGGTTTTTAGCATTTTTTGGGGTCAAAAACGCCAGTTTGTCACGTTTTGCCCCTTTTTGCCACAACTTTCAATGTTAGAGTGTTTTTACAGCTAAAAAAGTCAAATAGAAACCCTGGGTTTTTTTTCCAGCCAAAAAACGTCCTTGCCAAAAATAATTTTTTTTTCGTAAAAAAAAGAAAACATTCAAAACACCGGTTTGCTGCAATTTACTAAATTTTCAGCGTTAGAGCTTTTTTACAGCTACAAAACTCAAATAGAAACCCTGGGTTTTTTTTCCAGCCAAAAAAACGTCCTTGCCAAAAATAATTTTTTTTGGTAAAAAAAAAAAAAAAAAGCGCCGGTTTGCCGCAATTTACCACATTTTTCAGCATTAGAGCGTTTTTACAGCTAAAAAACTCAAATAGAAACCCTGGGTTTTTTTTCCAGCCAAAAAATGTCCTTGCCAAAAATAATTTTTTTTTGGTTAAAAAAAAAGAAAATGTCCAAAAGCGCCAGTTTGCTGAAATTTACTACATTTTTCAGCATTAGAGCATTTTTACAGTTAAAAAACTACTAGAAACCCAATAGTCCTGGGGTTTTTTCCAGCCAAAAAACGTTCCTGACAAAAAACGTTGATTACAGTCCAGGGGCGGACTGACAACTCATGGGGCCCCCCGGGCAATAGGGGATCATGGGGCCCCTGTGTCCTTGCCCAAACTCAAAAAAGGCTATGAAAAAGGTACCAGGGGCATCTCATGGGGCACCCTACTGTCCCCGGGCCCTTGGGCAGTGCCCGAGTTTCCAAATGGTCAGTCCACCCCTGGTATGGACACATAGGATAACATGCTGGGGGGTTTACTGGCTGTAGAAAAAAAAACCGTCAAAAGCCAAAAACAGCCGCTGTAAAAATGTCAAGTGTGCATGAGGGCTTACTGAACAAGCTGACGTTAGAAGCTGATTGGCTACCATGCACAGCAGCACCAGATTCTGCACTCTGCAGTTTTAGTAAATAACCCCCATGGTGTTGAGGCCACAGGGCTTCCTATCTAGGAGGTCAGTTTGTCAAAAAGTGAAGTCTTTGGTAAACACTTGCATGGTTTTGTTAGCAATGGCCCGCATGCTAAACGTAGGCACATCCGTTTTAAAGAGAAGGAAGAGAAGGTGCAGATCGGTCTTCATGGCGTAGCACTTGTGGGAGCTGGAGACGGTGTAGCACTGGTGAGCCTGGTGGCTGAATCCCATTGGAAATGACTCCTCGTACAGAACTGTCAATCAATACAGAGGGATAGTTAAAGAACGGCTATACCCAAAACAGGAAAGATTACACTGTATCAGTAACTACCTACTAACAACTATACACAGTATATAAAATGTAAAATAAAATATATCAAACAATATAAATATATAAAATACAATAAAATGAAAAATCAATAACAAGGTGCAAATAGAAACGTCACCAATTGGTGACTAGTAGGTGTTTGGGTACTAAACCAAATACAGCCCATAGCGCGAGTACAAAAAGATCCCAGATGATCTTCAAAAATCCAATGGCTGGATCCGTGGATGAGGTGATAGATGTGTGAAGATTGCGCACTCACTTTACACATCTATCACCTCACCCACGGATCCAGCCATTGGATTTTTGAAGATCTTTTTGTACTCACGCTATGGACTGTTTTTCGTTTAGTGCCCAAACACCTACTAGTCACCACTTGGTGACGTTTCTATTTGCACCTTGTTATTGATTTTTTTATTGTATTTTATTGTACTTTATATTATTATTATTATTCTAGCAAAAAAATGTATTTATAAAGCGCCGATAGTTTGCTAGTTTTGCTCAGCGCTGTACATTACAAAGGGGGACAGAACATGTGACAAAACAATACCAATACAATGCAAAACATGAGGGGATCGAGGGCCCTGCTCTTTCGAGCTTACAATCTAGGAGGGAGGGGATGGTGGCACAGGAGGAGATAGCTGTGGGGGATGGAGTGGTAGGAAGAGTGGAGGAGGTCGGCAAGTTAGCAGGGGGTGGGGTAGGCTTCCCTGAAGAGGTGGGTTTTCAGGGTGCGCCTAAAGGAGAGGAGAGTAGGTGATAATCTGATGGATTGGGGTAGGGAGTTTCAGAGGATGGGTGACACCCTGGAGAAGTCCTGGAGGCGGGCATGGGAGGAGGAGACCAGGCAACTAGAGAGAAGGAGGTCCTGTGAGGAGCGGACTGTGCGTGCTGGGTGGTACTTGGATATTAGGTCAGTGATGTAGTTCGGGGCAGTATGGTGGACAGCTTTGTACGTCAGTGTTAGGATTTTGAATTTGATCCGTTGCGCAATCGGAAGCCAGTGGAGGGATTGGCAGAGGGGGGTGGCGGAGATGGAGCGATTGGAAAGGTGAATGAGTCTGGCCGCCGTATTCAGGATGGACTGAAGCGGGGATAGCCAGCGGCGAGGCAGGCCAGTGAGGAGGGAGTTGTAGTAGTCAAGTCGTGATATGATGAGGGAGTGGATGAGCTGTTTAGTGGTTTCTGGGGTTAGGAACGTGCGGATTTTGGTGATGTTGTGGAGGTGGAGTCTGCATGTTGCGGAGGTGGAGTCTACACGGGTCTGTTAAAGAGTGGACTTGGGACTGGAAGGAAGGTTGGAGTCCAGAATGACACCAAGTACTCTGGCCTGCGGGGCGGGTTTGATGGTGGCGTTGTTGGACATGATGGAGAAGTCAATGGGGGGTGGGGTCCGGGCTGGGGGGGAAGACAAGAAACTCGGTTTTGGAGAGGTTCAGTTTAAGGAAGTGGAGTGACATCCAGTCTGATATGTCGCTCAGTAGGTGTGTGATTCGGGCGGAGACCAAGGGGGTGAGGTGGGGGGTTGAGAGATAGATTTGTGTGTCGTCGGCATAGAGGTGGTAGTTGAAGCCATGAGAGTGTATGAGTTGGCCAAGGGAGGAGGTGTAGATGGAGAAGAGAAGGGGCCCGAGGACAGAGCCTTGAGGGACCCCAACAGAGAGGGGGAGTGAGAGGGAGGTGGTAACGTTATAGGTAACGCTGAAAGAGCGTTGTGACAGGTAGGATGAGAGCCAGGAGAGAGCAGAATGAGGATGTTTGAATACAATATGTTCATACGATTTAACGGATCCTTGTAGCGCTGCACCCTGCTTTATTCTGACTATTTTGGAGGTTCATATGGTGCCTTTTTGGTGTTCAGCTGCTGTTTTCTTCCTTTAACTCATTTATAATTTACTCTCGCGCTCACTCATCCTGTAATTTACAATATAAATATATGCCTGACGAGAAATCTTTTACCCTCGGTTCACACTTCTGCAGATTTCAGAGTGTTTTCCAGTTTGCAGAAACACACTACAGTCCATTTAACATGGTTTCCTATGCATCTAGTTTACATCTGTGCGTTTTTTCTGGAAGGGGTCAGGGACTTTTTTTCCCTCACATAAGACTGCATTTTGTGTGTAATAGACTTCAATGGACCCCCACCAAAAATGCAACTGTTACCTTTTTTTTTATGCGTTTTGGGGTTTTATTGCCAAAAGGAAAGTATTGACTTTGATGACAGTTAATGAGACTTTGAATGGGTGCAACTTTTATGTGACTTGGATGCAAGTTTTTTTTTTTGTTAATAGGAAAGTATAACAGTTTAGTTCACGTAGTGCAACTTTAATGCTACTTGAATGCCAGAGAGTGTAAAGTCGCATCTTAGCTGCACTACAAGAACAGAACTGTTGTACTTTCCTATTAGCATTAGAATAAAAAGAAAAAAAAAAAAAAAAGTTGCATCAATATCGCACCTATCCAAAGTCACATCCAAGTAACATCAAAATCGCACCAATTCAAAGTCGCATCAAAGTCAACACCCAAGTCGCACCAAACCAAAGTCACATCAACGTTGTGTCCAGGGAGCGCGCACAAGCAGGGTGCGGGAAGGCCGTTTATAAATGGCCACCCGACCCTGCACGGCCACCGTCCGGCCGTTTATATGCAACCAAGGGTCTGGCCCTGTGCACGTCTGCAGTGGCTCTCTCCTCTTCTCCCCGCTCTTAGAGACTTCACTCCCTGTCCCATAGCCAAAACATTTCCTCTCACTTCCTGTTTTTGTTATGGGACAGAAAGTGAAGGGTATTTTCCCCAGTGGGACCCAGATTACACACAAAAAAAGAAAAAGAAAACAAAAAAAAAAACCCCAAACACATTAGGCTCCATGCACTCCGGACATTTTAATAACGCTGGTAACGTTAGCTGTGTAAAGTCATGTTAAAAACCTGAGTTTTTCAGCATTTTTGTATTAGCGTTTTTTAGACTTTTTTTGACCAAAAAAAAGAAAAAATTTTTTTTTTGGTAAAAAAAAAAAAAATAAATAATAATATCCAAAAGCGCTGGTTTGACGCAATTTACCAAATTTTTCAGAGTTAGAGCATTTTTCCAGCCAAAAAACACTGATCACAGTCTGTGTGTGTCTGGACATAGGATAACATGCTGGGGGGTTTACTGGCTGTAGAAAAAAAAATGTCAAAAGCCAAAAACAGCCGCTGTAAAACGTCCCGTGTGTATGAGGACTTATAACCCTCTCTTACTCCGCCCAAAATGAAAAAAAAAAAAGTTTTGCTTTTAGTTCTACTAATTCTAAATCTAATTAGACTTTAACCTCTTGCCGTCCGCCTACTGTTTATAAACGGCAGGGTGGTGGCAGTGCAGGGGCGGGTTGCTGTTCATAAACGGCACCCACCTTTTCTAGCTGTGCGTGCTCCTTGGGAGCGCGCAGCACCGCGATCCGGTGCCCGCTGTGTCCTCCGGACACAGTGAAACACCGATCGTCGGACAGGACCTCTGTACGAGGTCCCGATCATGGGATCACTGATTGGCCAATCAGTGATCACATGCAATGTAGCAAGCAAGATGTCACTTGTGACATCATTGCTTACTACATGTGAAATCTGTGAATGATCACAGAGGTCACATGGTACAAAGCTATTCACAACAGCCTTGTACCATGTGACAAGCTGTGACCAATCACAGCTCACTCAGTACTTCTCAATGACTGCAACAATGCAGACAGAGAGAAAGAGAAATGATTGCATTACATCCTATATGGATGTAAAAGCAATCAGTGTAAAAAAAAAAAAAAAAAAAAAAAAAAAAATCTTCATCACCCCCCACAAGTAGTACAGTGTCACCATGGTGACACTGTACTGCTAGGGTGACTGTATGTAAAAAAAAAAAAAAAAAAAAATAAAAATATAAAAAAAAAAAAATGTAAAAAAAAAAATGTTTAAAAATTATAATTTTTGGTTATAAACTAATTTGGATTTTTTTTTTTCCTAAAAAAAAATAACGGAATAAATTTTGGCCAAGATTTATGATGAAATATTATTTATTTGCAAAATTGTATAAAAAAAAAACACTTTTTAAAAAAAAAACACTTTTGGACTTTTTCATTTACATTGTAAAAAAAATAAAAAATCCCAGCGGTGAATAAATACCACCAAAATAAAGCTTTATCGGTCTCAAAAAAATGGTAAAAAATTCATATGGGTACAGTATTGCATGACCGCGCAATTGTCATTCAAAGTGTGACAGCGCTGAAAGCTGAAAATTGCCCTGGACAGGAAGGGGGTAAAAGTGTCCGGACAGGAAGTGGTTAATATGGGATCCTAAAACTGTATTACCCATTTTTTTCTACATTAAAGCGACACTAAAGCTTTGTGGGGTTTTTTTTTCTTTTGTTTTTTTTTTTTTTTTTTTAATTGAAATTGTCTATAGCTAGCCTAAGACTAAGCCTCTTCAAGGGAGGGGGGAACAGGAGGACGAGTCATTGATCAGAGTGTAAATTTTAGCTTGGGCTATTGACAGTTTTTACTTTCAACAGAGGCAAGAAATCTTTGAAAAACACTGTGAAAAGTAGATGAAAGCACCTATTGGCGGCATATGAAAAAACTAACATAAAAAAGTGAGAATCCCAGGCATGATAAAGAACGATAATGCGTAAAAACCACTATACATTCTTTTAATGACTTCATGGCTGCTCACAGCATATACAAGTCTTAAAGTTGAATTCCAAGAATTCAGCTGCTTTGTGAAGGCACTCTATGGGTTAAGTCACAGGTGTCAAACTGGCGGCCCTCCAGATGTTGCCAAACTACAAGTCCCATGAGGCTTTGCAAGATTGACAGTTACAAGCATGACTCCCAAAGGCAGAGGCATGATGGGACTTGTAGTTTTGCAACAGCTGGAGGGCCGCCAGTTTGACACCCCTGGGTTAAGATCATAAGCGAAATCTCCTGCGCTCAAGGACTCAGGCGGGTGGCGAATAGATGGAACCAGACCTGGAAAGATCGACCACCAATGCAAGTAGAGTTGTACAGCTCCAAACAAGGCTGGGGAAGCCCCGACCAACACTGCAAATCGAAACAAAAACGAGAAGCGCACCAACCTTGCGCATTACCTCAGTAACCATAGTTTATTAATTGTAAAATAGGAGCTCTGATGAAGAAGGGATGCCCTTCGAAACGCGTCAGCTGTACTGAGTATCTACCCCCACGATGGGATCCGCGCTGGCTTTCTACTTTTCAGGTCCCTTTGAGGACCTATATGCCTGATTTTATTCGCTGTTTGTGAGTATTATTTTACAATTAATAAACTTTGGTTAGTGAGCTAATGCGCAAGGTTGGTGCGCTTCTCATTTTTGTTTTCGATTTGCACCCCTGGGTTAAGTCCATAGAGGTACATGACATCTCCTGGACGTCGCTATTGCTGTGTTTTGATACTGATCCTTCAGATCTCTGCATCTTCAACAGTAGAGTCGCTGCAAATGCTATGCCTGTCCACCCCCTCCTCCTGTCCAATCACAGAAGCCTTGGCATTATGTGAACACATTCACAAAATACAAAGGCTTCTGTGAATTGGCAGCAGAGGGGAAGGGGCAGGCATAGCTACTCTGAGTGTTTCTCTCCTCTCAGATCCTGGAATGTCCCTCTGGCAGAACAATCAACCTGTCAAATGAAAATAACAGAGACAAGTCCAGGCTATGTCATGCAACTAGCTGGGGTTAAAATCAAAACCTAACTAGTTCTAAACCTACTGTCAGCCACATTCTAAGCCGAATCTATCTAGCCCTGTAAAGAAAAAAATCACTATCCTGTTCTACGTGCGCTGCGGTCCGGTCCCACTCTGAGCGGTCAGCGGCAGCCCCAATGTGTAGGAGTGGCAGCCGACAATGGAAGCCCCATAGTAACTCTATGGGTGAGGTCACTTCTTAGCCATTGTTGGTTTTCTCCTGCACACAGAGGGTGGCGCTGGACCGGAGCAGATGCAGAACAGGCAAGTAAAGCGATTATTTCTTTACAGGGCTAGATTTGGCTTAGAATGTGGCTGAGAATAGGTTTAGAGTTCGTTAGGTTTTGCCTTTACTCCCACTTTAACTCAAAGTGTGCCTTCCCTTTTTACAAAGTGGCGGAATTCCTTGAATTCAGCTTTAAAGAATCATTTCTATATCTGACAGGACATAGATCTAAGTCTTTTTTTTTTTTTCTTTTTAACCACTTTTAACCACTTCCAGTCCGGACACTTTTACCCCCTTCCAGTCCGGACACTTTCACCTCCTTCCAGTCCGGACACTTTCACCCCCTTCCAGTCCGGACACTTTCACCCCCTTCCAGTCCGGACACTTTCACCCCCTTCCAGTCCGGACACTTTCACCCCCTTCCAGACCGGACACTTTCACCCCCTTCCAGTCCGGACACTTTCACCCCCTTCCAGTCCGGACACTTTCACCACCTTCCAGTCCGGACACTTTCCCCCCAGTCCGGACACTTTCCCCCCCCCTCCAGTCCGGACACTTTCCCCCCCTTCCAGTCCGGACACTTTCCCCCCTTTCCAGTCCGGACACTTTCCCCCCCTTCCAGTCCGGACACTTTCACCCCCTTCCAGTCCGGACACTTTCACCCCCTTCCAGTCCGGACACTTTCACCCCCTTCCAGTCCGGACACTTTCACCCCCTTCCAGTCCGGACACTTTCACCCCCTTCCAGTCCGGACACTTTTACCCCCTTCCTGTCCGGACACTTTCACCCCCTTCCAGTCCGGACACTTTCCCCCCCTTCCAGTCCGGACACTTTCACCCCCTTCCAGTCCGGACACTTTCACCCCCTTCCAGTCCGGACACTTTCACCCCCTTCCAGTCTGGACACTTTTACCCCCTTCCTGTCCAGGGCAATTTTCAGCTTTCAGCGCTATCACACTTTGAATGACAATTGCGCGGTCATGCAACACTGTACCCAAATGAATTTTTTACCATTTTTTTGAGACAGATAAAGCTTTATTTTGGTGGTATTTATTCACCGCTGGGATTTTTATTTTTTTTTTGCTATGTAAATGAAAAAGTCCAAAACTTTTTTAAAAAAATTTTGCAAATAAATAATATTTCATCATAAATCTTTGCCAAAATTTATTCCGTTATCTTTTTAGTAAAAAAAAAAAAAAATCCAAATTAGTTTATAACCAAAAATTATAATTTTTAAACATTTTTTTTTACATTTTTATATTATTTTTTATTTTTATTTTTTTTACATACAGTCACCCTAGCAGTACAGTGTCACCATGGTGACACTGTACTACTTGTGGGGGGTGATGAAGATTTTTTTTTTTTTTTTTTTTTACACTGATTGCTTTTACATCCTATATGGGTATAAAAGCAATCATTTCTCTTTCTCTCTGGCTGCATTCTTGCACTCATTGAGAAGTACTGAGTGAGCTGTGATTGGTCACAGCTTGTCACATGGTACAAGGCTGTTGTGAATAGCCTTGTACCATGTGACCTCTGTGATCATTCACAGATTTCACACGTAGTAAGCAATGATGTCACCAGTGACATCTTGCTTACTACTTTGCATGTGATCACTGATTGGCCAATCAGTGATCACATGATCGGGACCTCGTACAGAGGTCCCGTCCGACGATCGGTGTTTCACTGTGTCCAGAGGACACAGCGGGCACCGGATCACGGTGCTGCGCGCTCCGAGGGAGCGCGCACAAGCAGGGTGCGGGGAGGCCGTTTATAAACGGCCACCCGACCCTGCACTGCCACCGTCTGGCCGTTTATATGCAACGGCCGGTCGAGAAGTGGTTAAAGGGTGTCCAAGTGTGCATATGATCTTGTGGTGTCACTAGACAGCTCTACAATTTCTTTGAAATAAGATGTGGCTTTGTGTTGTAATTTATGTATTTGAAAAAAAAACAAACATTCAGATGGTACTAAAATAAATCGGAATTGTAATCAGTAAACTCACTTTTCCCATCCTGGTGGTCTGGACGGAAGTAACGTGACATGGCAAGAGTATAAAATGAACGGAGAGCTGCCCGCCGCTGTTCCAGGATACATTTCATATCTAGTAAGACGAAGAGACAGGAATAACTAAACAGGGAAATCCTGTAAAACCAATTTTTTATAGTTTTTAATTGCTCATTATTTTTCTGTTTCAATGGTTTTTATTAAATTTTTTAAACAATATAAAGCAGAGGCAATAAAACTCGCCCACGCAGGGGCTATCAATTTGCACAGATAAAAAAAAAAAAATGCAAAATAAAAAAAGGAAAAACAGTGCTCTAAGGCCAACAGGACAAAAGGTACGCCCACGCAGGGGCTATCAATGGCACACAAGTTGCAAAACATTAATGTAACTGCCTATAACAACTAAATGGAACTGTCCAGTCACACCAAAAACAGAGAGAGAGAGAAAAAGGAAGAAAGAGGAAAAAAAAAAAAAAAAAAAAAAAGGGGGGGGGGGGGAGCAAAGAGCAGGGGTCCAAGAGCGCCAATACCGAACGCCATTACATCCCCAGACTAGCCAGGGGGAGTGAGGGAAAGGCATATTGCAACCACGGCTCCCATATTTTCAAAAATTGACGTTGGGAGTCGTTGCAGATACTCGACATCTGTTTGTTAAGCATCATAGTGGTCATACGATCCCGCACCCCCTGAAGAGGGACAAACGGACTCTTCCAGGCCTGAGCAATTGTTCTAGTGGCCGATAAAAACAGATAGGAAGCCAACTTCTGCTGGTGAGCCAAGAGGCCCGGTATGGGACAATGAAGCAAGACGTACCGAGCATCCCGGCGTATGGAGAGATGGAACAAGGTGAAAAGGAGGCCAAACACACGAGACCAAAAACGAAACAGTCTCGGGCATGACCACCAGATATGCAATACATCTCCATGATGGCCACAACCCCGAAAACATCGATCACTACAGGCAGGGTTAGCCCGGGCCAACCGAGCCGGAACCCAATACCAACGAAACAATACCTTATAGGCTGCCTCCAGTGTGGTCGTATTAAATGAGCATTTAGCTATGAGTGACCAGGCCTTATTCCAGTCCTCCGGATCCACAGCCACTCCCAGGTTGCGCTCCCACTGAACAACATAGGAAAGAGAAGTATGCGACGAGCGTCTGTTCAGAGCTGCATAAAGAAGGGATATAAGGCCCGGAGCGCCCGGACGCTGCTGGCAAAGCTGTTCAAAGGCAGATCTCTGGTACGGGAAAGCAGAAGTGCCCCGCAGCGAGAGCAGCCAGTGTCGCAATTGAAGATATCGAAAGAATTCCGCCGGGGGGATATTCCGGGATTCCTGAAGAGAGTTCCAGGTGGAAAAGGACCGAAAAATCAAAAAGAATTCCACTGGGGGGATATTCCGGGATTCCCGAAGAGAGTTCCAGGTGGGAAAGGACCGAAAAATCAAAAAGAATTCCACTGGGGGGATATTCCGGGATTCCCGAAGAGAGTTCCAGGTGGGAAAGGACCGAAAAATCAAAAAGAATTCCACTGGGGGGATATTCCGGGATTCCCGAAGAGAGTTCCAGGTGGGAAAGGACCGAAAAAAAATCAAAAAGAATTCCACTGGGGGGATATTCCGGGATTCCCGAAGAGAGTTCCAGGTGGAAAAGGACCGAAAAAATCAAAAAGAATTCCACTGGGGGGATATTCCGGGATTCCCGAAGAGAGTTCCAGGTGGGAAAGGACCGAAAAATCAAAAAGTGCGAAAAAACCATTAGTTAATTGCTCATTTTTTTCAAGCAAGGATCCTGATATGCAGATTACTGTTACATAGTTAGTAAAGTTGGATAAAGACACATCCAGTTCAATACAAGTGTGTGTGTTTATGCCACTACCATTCTCAATATACCTGCACACTGTGCTAGCTAGAGCCGGCCATAGATGCTTTGAATTGCAGCCGATTCAGTGGGGACCAGCCAAGATTCGATGTATAGGCAGGCCAATTGTTACCAGGTCGATCCATCAATCAACTTGGGCACAACCGGAATGTCAGATTTCTAGTATGTGATTATTGCCAGCGGCTACAGCCACTAGCAATGATCATTGTGTTCCCCTGGCAGGGACGGCTTCCGCCGGGAACACACAATAGCGCCACAGTAGGGATTCCCTTGTCAATACTGACTGGGTTGATAGAAAATCACATCCTCTATGGCCTGACTAAGAAACAAATCCAACATTTTTTTGAATTTCCCTACACTCCCCGCACACCAACTGTGGAAGGAAGTTCCACATCCTTACCGCTCGAACAGTAAAAAACCCCTTATGCAGTTTAGGATTGAACAGCTTCTTATCGAACGTCATTGTGTGGCCGCATTTCTTCTTTTAGAGGCGTAAGAAAGGTTTCCTCTGGATATTAGGGTCACCATTTAAAGCTTTGTATATCACTACTATATCTCCTCTTAGTTTTTGTAAAGGCTTGAGGTTTTATTACCTTTCATGTTTAGCACCCTCCCCCAGCACCCCTAAATACCTGAGTCTAATGAGCAGAGAGCAGGGGGAGGGGCCAAGCTGCACTATGCGTGTCAACAGAGGCACACAGCCCGACTTGGGATTGAGTTTGCATGAGTGCCCAGGGGCGGACTGACAACTCATGGGACCCCCGGGCAATAGGGGATCATGGGGCCCCTGTGTCCTTGCCCAAACTCAAAAAATCCTATGAAAAAGGTACCAGGGGCATCTCATGGAACCCCCTACTGACCCCGGGCCCTCGGGCAGTGCCTGAGTTTCCAAATGGTCAGTCCGCCCCTGTGAGTGCCCCCATATCAAGCAAGGAGGCGTCTGCTCTGTGTAAAACCACATCACAAAGCAGTATACCATGTTTATATTTCAATTAAAAAAAACAACAACAAACATTTACAACCACTTTAAGCACCTTTTCCCTGGGTGGAATAATGCTTTTTGCAGACTCCAAGTGGGCTTTCATGAGAGGCTTCCGTCAATTCTCTCTGCCATATAGCCCAGATCGGTGAGTGATGGTTGTCCTTCTAGAATGTTGTCCCATCTCCAGACAGGATCTCTGGAGCTCATTCATCTCTCTTACTATGGCCCTTCTCCCTAATGGCTAATCACGTTGGCCGGAGCGACCAGCATTTGGAAAAGTCCAGGTAGTGCCAAACTTCTTCCATTTGAGAAGTACAGAGGCCACTGTGCTCTTGGGAAACTTCAGTGCAGCAGAAATGTTTTGGCAGCCTTCCCCAGATCCGTGTATTACAATAATCCTGTCTCTGAGCTCTGTGAGCAGTTCCTTTGACCTCATGGCTTTGCTCTGATACAGTATGCATTGTCAGCTGTGAGGCCTTTTGTGTGCCTTTCCAAATCATGTTGGATCAATTTGGTTTACCACAGATGGGCTCCAATTTAGCTCAAGTGCTTGTTGATGAGATGTTTCAAGTGTTGTGGCAAAGGGTCTAAATACTTTTGCAAATGTGATATTTCAGTTTTTCTGTAAATTGACAGACATTTCTAAAATTCAGTTTTCACTTTGTCACTACGGGGTACTGAGTGCAGATTAAAGAGGAAAAAAAAAAGAAAAAAAAAAAAAAAAACCACAAAATTTAACCCCTAAACTCCGAGCGCACACAAATATGGGGCCTCTCGGCGTCTGGGCCTTGACACCTGCGCACTCCCAGCACATATGTCTGTGACTCACGGAAAGGTCCCGATCTCCCCTTGCAATTGGGACCTTTTCCGATCATGTGACCACCGTGACAGCGAATCACGGCGATCACATGACCCTAAAACCCTGCCCCGCCACCTGGCTTTATAAAGGGCTGGGAGGCGCTGGCGCAAAGGGGTTAAAAAACTGTAGTATCAGTCTGCATCATAACAAAAACTGAAAAAAAGTGAGGGGGTCTGAATACTTTATTAATTCAGTCATATTCTCTCATATATATATATATATATATATATATATATATATATATATATATATATATATATATATATATATATACATACATACATACATACAGTGGGGCAAAAAAGTATTTGGTCAGCCACCAATTGTGCAAGTTCTCCCACTTAAAAAGATGAGAGAGGCCTGTAATTGGCATCATAGGTAGACCTCAACTATGAGAGACAAAATGAGAAAAAAAATCCAGACAATCACATTGGCTGATTTGGAAAGAATTTATTTGCAAATTATGGTGGAAAATAAGTATTTGGTCAATATGAAAAGTTCATCTCAATACTTTGTTATATATCCTTTGTTGGCAATGACAGAGGTCAGATGTTTCCTGGAAGTCTTCACAAGGTTGGCACACACTGTTGCTGGTATGTTGGCCCATCCTCCATGCAGATCTCCTCTAGAGCAGTGATGTTTTGGGGCTGTCGCTGGGCAACACGGACTTTCAACTCCCTCCAAAGGTTTTCTATGGGGTTGAGATCTGGAGACTGGCTAGGCCACTCCAGGACCTTGAAATGCTTCTTACGAAGCCACTCCTTCATTGCCCGGGCAGTATGTTTGGGATCATTGTCATGTTGGAAGACCCAGCCACGTTTCATTTTCAATGTCCTTGCTGATGGAAGGAGGTTTGCACTCAAAATCTCATGATACATGGCCCCATTCATTCTGTCCTGTACATGGATCAGTCGTCCTGGTCCCTTTGCGGAGAAACAGCCCCAATGCATGATGTTGCCACCCCCATGCTTCACAGTAGGTATGGTGTTCTTTGGATGCAACTCAGCATTCTCTCTCCTCCAAACACGACGAGTTGTGTTTCTACCAAACAGTCCTATTTTGGTTTCATCTGACCATATGACATTCTCCCAATCCTCTTCTGGATCATCCAAATGCTCTCTAGCAAACTTCAGACGGGCCCGGACATGTACTGGCTTAAGCATGGGGACACATCTGGCACTGCAGGATCTGAGTCCCTGGCGGCGTAGTGTGTTACTGATGGTAGCCTTTGTTACGTTGGTCCCAGCTCTCTGCAGGTCATTCACTAGGTCCCCCCGTGTGGTCCTGGGATTTTTGCTCACCGTTCTTGTGATCATTTTGACCCCACGGGGTGAGATCTTGCGTGGAGCCCCAGATCAAGGGAGATTATCAGTGGTCTTGTATGTCTTCCATTTTCTAATTATTGCTCCCACAGTTGATTTGTTCACACCAAGCTGCTTGCCTATTGCAGATTCAGTCTTCCCGGCCTGGTGCAGGTCTACAATTTTGTTTCTGGTGTCCTTCGACAGCTCTTTGGTCTTCACCATAGTGGAGTTTGGAGTGTGACTGTTTGAGGTTGTGGACAGGTGTCTTTTATACTGATAACAAGTTCAAGCAGGTGCCATTGATACAGGTAATGAGTGCAGGACAGAGAAGCCTCTTAAAGAAGAAGGTACAGGTCTGTGAGAGCCAGAAATCTTGCTTGTTTGTAGGTGACCAAATACTTATTTTCCACCATAATTTGCAAATATATTCTTTCCAAATCAGCCAATGTGATTGTCTGGATTTGTTTTCTCATTTTGTCTCTCATAGTTGAGGTCTCCCTATGATGCCAATTACAGGCCTCTCTCATCTTTGTAAGTGGGAGAACTTGCACAATTGGTGGCTGACTAAATACTTTTTTGCCCCACTGTGTATATATATATATATATATATATATATATATATATATATATATATATATATATATACACACACACACACACACACACACACACACACATACATATACATACACACAGTGGGGCAAAAAAGTATTTAGGCAGCCACCAATTGTGCAAGTTCTCCCACTTACAAAGATGAGAGAGGCCTGTAATTGGCATCATAGGGAGACCTCAACTATGAGAGACAAAATGAGAAAACAAATCCAGACAATCACATTGGCTGATTTGGAAAGAATTTATTTGCAAATTATGGTGGAAAATAAGTATTTGATGCTTCAGACAACGGTTGGCAGAAAGACTAGGAGTGGTAATGAGCCCCAAACCAAAAATGTAACACATTGCAGCTTATTAATCCTTATGTGGTGGCTGCATTCGTTTTCTTTTTGTGACTTTCCCCTTCTGTTTTCACCTCGTGATCTGGCCAGTAACACACAAAGGAGTACCGTGGACACCTCTGGGCAGCAGCATTGTCAGTCTGGGGAAGGGGAGTGCTGGATGAACTAGAACAGTGTTTCTCAACCTTTTTTCAGTCAAGGCACCCTTTAAAATTATGGACAGTCTTGAGACACCAGCTTCTAAAATGTGAAAAAGGATTCTAATAGTTTTATATAATGCAGCAACATCCACACACGGAGGACAACCAACATTAGAGGTGATTTATTCTTCCAAAGCAAATACACTTTTGCACCCTGGTACTGACTAGTATATTCCAGTGTTTCTCCTCTCCCTCAGTTTTTCTCCATCGCTGAGCTAATGTGACCCCAACACTGATGGAGAGGGGCAGGGGAGGGTCAAACTAGGATGCTGTGCAGACAGCTGACATCCTCCTTATCAACTGATGTCATTGGATGTCAGGTTGCCGGTGGCTAGAAGGTGGTAATGGTGCACAATGAAATCCTGTGGCTTTGTGTAACTAAGGCAGGCTTCTTCCACCTGCCGGCTTGTATACAAGTTTTGGGCAATTTTTAGACATTTTGCCAAGGCACCCCTGAAGAAACCTCAAGGCACCCCAGGGTGCCTAGGCACCCTGGTTGAGAAAGGCCCTGGTTGAGAAAGAGGCCGATCTGTTGACAGCCTATATAGATTTACTGTTGCTCAGGGGCTCTGGGCTTCAACAAAATGGCAGCCTCTGGCAAGAAGCAACAAGAACAATGCTGAAGGCAATTTACAGCACACACTCATTTTGGTAGGATCATTAATAATGTGGAATGTTTGTTCCTTGCTAAATAACAGTATTTTTATCATGTTGTTATGTGTAAAGTTCCGCTTTAAAAGGGAAATAATATTTGCTCACCTGATCTCTGCATGTCCTCAGTAGGATGAACTTGCACAGTATACAAGCTTTTATTCAAATCCCTATTGACCAGCAAGATGCTACAATAAAATAAAAACATACATTAGACATTCATGCAAAAAAAAAAATGTTCACAGTTACATCAATATTTCCCGGAGAAACTCTGCCAAGAACTGACTTTTAAGCTGGGACAGCATAAGTGCTACTTCAGGGACTGGCAATACATTTTCCCAAGGGGCCACATAAAACTGTAGTGGAGGGCCGAACCAAAGATTAGTGTATAGTAAAAAAAAAATATATATATTTTTGATAACCCCTTGCCGCCCGCCCACAATGCATTTACTGGGAGTGGGAGGCCCAGCCAGGCTAGGCAATGCACTTGTACGTCTGTGTGCCTGTCGCAGGACGCAGGGCACGTGCCCCACCCACATAAGCCCATGTTGAACAAGCTCTGGGTTGGTATGGACTCTTTTATTTCCCATATGTATCAACTCCCCATCCCCCACAGATGAGAGCCTGAAAGATCCAGGGATACATAAATGAAGGAAGGGGAGGTAATCCAGACACAAGGGCCCCTTATGTCAGCTGGGGCCCCAACTCTTAAGAAGAACAAACATACACTCACTTACAGACACACACACTGGAATATTTTGAATGGGTGGTTTCTCTCCCAGGTCTCTCCTCTTTCAATCAGTGGCAGGTTGGCGGGACCCAGAATTTCACTGTCCACTCCAGAATTTGCCGATCTTGGAGAGTGTCCTGGGGCCACAATTACAATTGATAGTACTGCAATGAGAATGCCCACAGGCAGCCTATGTTGTACCTGAGCCCCCCCTGCTAACCTGAGGGGGTCCAGGCCCCGTACATGAGGACTGCCTGTATCCCTCTATCAGCAGCCATGGCCCCTGGTATTGGCAGGTGGTGTACTGTCAGCCCTTACTATTAGCAAGAGGTGCACTGTCAGTCCCCCAATATCACCGGGAGGTGCGCTGTCAATCCCCGGTATCACCGGGAGGTGCGCTGTCAATCCCCGGTATCACCGGGAGGTGCGCTGTCAGTCCCCGGTATCACCGGGAGGTGCGCTGTCAGTCCCCGGTATCACCGGGAGGTGCGCTGTCAGTCCCCGGTATCACCGGAGGTGCGCTGTCAGTCCCCGGTATCACCGGGAGGTGCGCTGTCAGTCCCCCCCGTATCACCGGGAGGTGCGCTGTCAGTCCCCGGTATCACCGGGAGGTGCGCTGTCAGTCCCCGGTATCACCGGGAGGTGCGCGCTGTCAGTCCCCGGTATCACCGGGAGGTGCGCTGTCAGTCCCCGGTATCACCGGGAGGTGCGCTGTCAGTCCCCGGTATCACCGGGAGGTGCGCTGTCAGTCCCCGGTATCACCGGGAGGTGCACTGTCAGTCCCCGGTATCACCGGGAGGTGCACTGTCAGTCCCCGGTATCACCGGGAGGTGCACTGTCAGTCCCGGATATCACTGGGAGGTGCACTGTCAGTCCCGGATATCACTGGGAGGTGTATGGTCAGTCCCGGATATCATCGGGAGGTGTATGGTCAGTCCCCGATATCTCCAGAAGGTGTATTGTCGGTCCCAGATATCACCCGGAGGTGTATGGTTAGTCCCTGGTATCAGTGGGAGGTGCACCGTCAGTCTTTGCTATCAGCGGGCATGCTGTAAAGTATATACTGCTGCACTGACTAAGCAGGAGCTCTGACTAAAGAAGCCTAAGTCTTTACTGGGTATAGCTCCATTTGGAAAAGACAAATATCAATGCAAATCTCCCCAATTTTCACTGGGCATGGCCATTGCCACAACTGATGCCTTGTTTCTGCACGTCTTCTCCCCTCTAGACATCTGCAGCCTGTCTCATCAACATCCCCATCAAGTGCCCATCTCAGTCCCAACCCCATCACCAAAAGATGCACCCCTGGCCCCTGCATTAGCAATCACCATTGAAGATGTAACTCTAAATGATCTTTTTATCAAAAACCTTCAAATATTCTTACCCCAGAATTCCATGGTGTAAGGGAACAGAGGCTGGAAATGATCTCAGCTGTACTCTTAAGCAGGATTTGACTGGATCCAGAACAGGCTTCCAAAACCTTTCTACCAACTATACAAAATAAAAAAAATGTACAATTAAAAGAGATGTTCGGGTTTAAAAAAAAAAAAAAAAAAAAAAAAAAAAAAAAAAAAAAGGATACTTACCTAGGTGGATGCAGCATCGGTCTGATGCTGCATCTATTTGCAGCTACCTCTGAACTGAGAACTGAGCAATCAAACAACACTGATCGCTCAGTTCTCCCCTGAGTAGAGAGCTGTGACTGTCAGTCTCCAGCTCTCTGGACCTCCAAATAAAGGTTTTATTTGGACTGTTATAAGGGGCAAACCTCATAATTTCAACAACAGGCTGACAACGGCTGCAATGGGGCTTAAGTGTTGTTGCAAAAGGCAGTGGTGTTCACTGACAAAAGCTGAAGCAAACAACAAAAATCAAAAGGGTGCAAATGCCTAGTGCATTATCTACAGCACTTTATTAAAAGCCTCATGGGACCAAATGGATGACATGTTTCGGGGTACTGGTGGCCTTCCTCAGAGCAAAGACTGGTTAACCACCAACATCCACCTCCTCAAATGTAAGGTGATATGAAGTCCTCCCACCTTAGGGGAGCATCTTGCACTGTCATCCGTTCGGTCCCATGACTTGGTTTCTGAATGACAAGCTACCACTTTACTTTGATTTGTGAGTCCAATTTGCATCTTTTAATAAAGTGCTGTAGATAATGCACTAAGCCAGGCCTTGAAATTTCCACTCACCTGCTCGCCACTGGCGAGTGGAAATTATGGTGGGGGCGAGTGTGTCCCCCAGGACTGTCTTGCTGAGAAGGCTCGGAGCTCAGGCCGGATCTGTCATTGGCAATGGGAGCCGTCAGACTGCTCAATAGCTGAGCGCAGTGAAAGCAAAGGAAGGAGTGTGTGCTGCGCTCTCTGCCTCCCCCTAGAGTGCAGTGCCTGGCTCTGTGAGTGAACAACGAGGTACTGCAACTTTTTATAGGGCTGTGTGTGTGTCTGTGTGTATCTGTACATGTGTCTGCGTGTATGTACAGTGGGGATCGAAAGTTTGGGCACCCCAGCTAAAAATTTGTATTAATGTGCATAAAGAAGCCAAGGAAAGATGGAAAAATCTCCAAAAGGCATCAAATTACAGATTCGACATTCTTATAATATGTCGACAAAAGTTAGATTTTATTTCCATCATTTACACTTTCAAAATAACAGAAAAAAAAAAATGGCGTCTGCAAAAGTTTGGGCACCCTGCAGAATTTATAGCATGCACTGCCCCCTTTGCCAAGCTGAGACCTGCCAGTGTCATGGATTGTTCTCAATCATGGTCTAGGAAGACCAGGTGATGTCAATCTCAAAGGTTTTAAATGCCCAGACTCATCTGACCTTGCCCCAACAATCAGTACCATGGGTTCTTCTAAGCAGTTGTCTAGAAAACTGAAACTGAAAACAGTTGACGCTCACAAAGCTGGAGAAGGCTATAAGAAGATAGCAAAGCGTTTTCAGATGTCAATATCCTCTGTTCGGAATGTAATTAAGAAATGGCAGTCATCAGGAACAGTGGAAGTTAAAGCAACATCTGGAAGACCAAGAAAAATATCAGACAGAACAGCTCGCAGGATTGTGAGAAAAACAATTGAAAACCCACGTTTGACTGCACGATCCCTCCAGAAAGATCTGGCAGACACTGGAGTTGTGGTACACTATTCCACTATAAAGAGATACTTGTACAAATATGGTCTTCATGGAAGAGTCATCAGAAGAAAACCTCTTCTACGTCCTCACCACAAAAATCATCGTTTGAACTTTGCAAATGAACATATAGACAAGCCTGATGCATTTTGGAAACAAGTTCTGTGGACCGATGAGGTTAAAATTGAACTTTTTGGCCGGAATGAGCAAAGGTATGTTTGGAGAAGAAGGGGCACAGAATTTAATGAAAAGAACCTCTGTCCAACTGTTAAAGCATGGGGTTGGATCAATCATGCTTTGGGGTTGTGTTGCAGCCAGTGGCACAGGGAACATCTCACGAGTAGAAGGAAAAATGGATTCAATAAAATTTCAGCAAATTTTGGATGGTAACTTAATGCCATCTGTGAAAAAGCTGAAGTTAAAGAGAGGATGGCTTTTGTTGACATATTATAAGAATGTCTAATCTGTAATTTGATGCCTTTTGGAGATTTTTCCATCTTTCCTTGGCTTCTTTATGCACATTAATACAAATTTTTTTAGCTGGGGTGCCCAAACTTTCGATCCCCACTGTACATGTATGTGTGTGTATATATGTGTGTGTGTACGTACATGTGCCTGTTTGTACATGTATTTCTGTGTATGTACATGTGACTGTGTGTATGCGGGTGTACGTGTCTGTGTGTGTATACATGTGTGTGTGTGTGTGTACATGTGTCTTTGTGCGAGTGTGTATATGTTTATATGTGTGTATATGTGTGTGTATGTACATGTCTGTGTGTGTACAGGTGTCTCTGTTTGTGTGTGTTTGTTGATGGCGAGTAACTCTTAAGGCCTGGCTAGTAGCTCAGGACTTGAAATTTTAAGCCCTGCACTAGGCATTTGCGCTATTTGGTTTTTTTTGTCGTTTGTACAGTTCAAGATTCCCTGATCTGAGGAAGGCTGCACCGCCATAACCATCCAGTCCATGTTGCACAGTGGTCATTATTATTGCATATCCTAAAGCCAGCTTCTCTGAATTCTTAGCGTTGAGGTGTCAACTTTGTATTGTTCTAGCTCAATTTAAAATGAGAAGTTTACCAGTTAAAAAAAAATAATAATAATAAAAAGACACATCTTTTTGCTTGTAAAAAAAAAAAACATGCCTTTTAATATTTTTTTTTTCCATTTGGATCCTGCAAAGTTTTTAACTCGGTACCAGCAGATCACGGGTGCAATCTCAGGCTCCTGCAGATTATCAGCGTAGCTGTCTGTCCAAACCTCGAACAGGCAGGCAGTTACTGAATAACAGGAAGAAGAAGCGCTCTGGTAGTTCATCGAGAACTGCAAGCCCTCATCAGCCTCAATGGCTGATGGTAGTTGTAGTTCTACCATTCACAGAACTCTGTGAATGATGTGGCCAGGTGGGCGGAGCCCTGCCCAACTGTGTTTTTTTTTTTATAAAAATTGTGACAGCGGGTGCAGAGGGAGGATTCCCAACCCGCTGTCACAAGGGGACTTGCTGCATCATGTTATTACGCAGCATTCACACTTGAGCGATTTGTAACTTGAAGCTCCAGGCTCCAAAAACACTCAGACTTGAAAAATCAATTGTTCTCTATGGTGCCTGTTCCCAGTGATCAGGTGTGAACAGGCACTATAAAGAACAATTGATTTTTTTTTTTTTTTTAAGTTCGAGTGTTTTTGGAGATTCAATCTACAAACTTCTCAAGTGTGAATGCAGCCCAAAAGGTGAACTTATTTCCATTATATGTGAACCTTCACCCTGTAAAGCAACCCATTCAGTGTAAAATAGAAATGAAAAAAACATTTGTGTATAGATACAGAAAATATTATAAATACATGTTTTCCCTCTGTTATAAGTGATCATTGCCCCCTCTGTTCTCAGCTGCACAGTCAGCTGGGGGGGGGGGGGGGTGACAGCAGCACACTGATGTTCCCAGTGAATGGCTGTGCAGGGGGGGGTGTCAGGACAAGTCTGATCATTGGAAGAGAGCAGGCTGAGTTCCAGCACAGCAAGAGAGCTGACCACGCTGTGCTCTTGTAGTAGCAACTTTGGAAATACCAGGAAAACTCCAGACACGAACTTGAGGAAAACAAACCTTTTATTTACCAGCTGGGACTTAGCCAGACAGTGTCTGTAAAGCCAAGTGCCTTCAAAAGCCTCTTACATGGTGTATATACCAACAATGATGTCACAATGCATATATTTCCTCTTTCACTTTCTGTACATTAAAAAGGCTTTCTAAACTGTGCAAAATATAGCCTTGAATACCAGCTACAGATAAGGATACCAGCTACAGGCTGGAACACATTACTTCACAGGAAATAAGGGAGGGGGGGGGGGGGGGGGGGGGAAATCGAAGTGAGCTGGTGATCTTGCTTTTGCAAAAAAAAGCTGCTAAAAATGTTAACGTTTAAAGGGAAACTCTGCAATATTTGGGTACTGCCACATTCTTATGCCTAGTTTGGTCAGTTTTTAATAGGAAAGCAGAGGGACTGGCAGGAACACCAGGAATTTCACACAAAGGAAGCAATACTATGAGGACAGAAAACTTTTTTTTATACAAGTACATGGGACAGCAGGAACATACAGTATCAGGAATAGACCTATTCTTTAATGTTTTTAGAATGGCAGCACAGTAGCTAAATGGTTAGCACTTCCTCCTGGCAGTACTAGGGTCATTGGTTCAAATCCCAACCACAGCACCACATGCCTGGAGTTTGCATGTTCTCCCTGTGCCTGCGTGGGTTTTCTCCGGTTACTCCCACAGTCCAAAGACATGCTGGTAGGTTAATTGGCTCCTGTCTAAATTGTCCTAGTATGTGTATGTATGAATGTGAGTTAGGGACCTTAGATTGTGCACCCCTTGAGGGTTAGGGACTGATGTGAATGTACAATATACCGTATTTTCCGGCGTATAAGACGACCCCCTATTTTCCTGCTAAAATATAGGGTTTGGGCTATACTCGCCGTATAAGACTACCCCTCTTTCAACGCACACCAAATAAAAATGAAAAAAAACATCAGATTTGATTTCAATATGGTATGCTATTTCAGTATGGTATTCCAATGATGGGGTGCTATTCCTCCCACTGACACCAATGATGAGGCACTACTCCTCCCACTGACACCAATGATGGGGCACTATTTCATCCACTGACACCAATGATGGGGCACTATTCCTCCCACTGATACCAATGATGGGATACTATTCCTCCCACTGACACCAATGATGGTGCCCCATCATTAGTGTCAGTGTGTGAGGAATAGTGCCCCATCATTAGTCAGTGGGAGGAATAGTGCCCCATCATTAGTCAGTGGGAAGAATAGTGCCCCATCATTGGTGTCAGTGGGAAGAATCGTGCCCCATCATTGGTGGCAGTGGGAGGAATAGTGTCCCATCAATGGTGTCAGTGGGAGGAATAGTGCTCCATCATTGGTGTCAGTGGGAGGAATAGTGGCCCATCATTGGTATCAGTGGGAGGAATAGCGCCCCATCGTTGGTGTCAGTGGGAGGAATAGCTCCCCATCGTTGGTGTCAGTGGGAGGAATAGCTCCCCATCGTTGGTATCAGTGGGAGGAATAGCTCCCCATAGTTGGTATCAGTAGGAGGAATAGCGCCCCATCATTGGTGTCAGTGGGAGGAATAGTGCCCCATCATTGGTATCAGTGGGGAGAATAGTGCCCCATCATTGGTGTCAGTGGGAGGAATAGCACCCCATCGTTGGTGTCAGTGGGGGAGGAATAGTGCCCCATCATCGGTATCAGTGGGAGGAATAGTGCCCCATCATTGGTATCAGTGGGAGGAATAGTGCCCCATCATTTGGTATCAGTGGGGAGAATAGTGCCCCATCATTGGTGTCAGTGGGGAGGAGGAATAGTGCCCATCATTGGTATCAGTGGGGAGAATAGTGCCTCATCGTTGGTGTCAGTGGGAGAGGAATAGTGCCCAATCGTTAGTGTCAGTGGGGGAGAGGAGCGGCTGCTCCTTCTTCCAGTTCGGCCGCTCGATTTTCGCGGGGCCGCTCGTCTCCGCCTCCTCGCCGGTGATTGGTCGCCTGTGTGCCTTTCCAGTGCTGGCGCCCAATCACCGGCGAGGAGGCGGAGCCGAGCGGCCGCGTGAAACCATCGAGCGGCCGAACTGAAAGAAGGAGCAGCCGCGCTTCCTGGACCGGATCGTCGTGGGACCGGAGCCAGGTAAGGTACAGCAGCCCCTCTGCCCACCCCGCCCCTCGAAAAAGTGCCGCCCTGACACCGGCTCGCACCGGCGTATAAGACGACCCCCGACTTTTCAGAAGATTTTCAGGGGTTGAAAAGTCGTCTTTATACGCCGGAAAATTACGGTATATGTAAAGTGCTGTGTAAATTGGACTGCACTGTATAAATACCTGAAAAAATAATAATAAAATAAGATATGAATTGAACTGATGTGATAATTTGCTCACTGACCTCTGACTCAACTTTTTGCAGAGATGGACTGGGGCCACAATAGTACACAAACATCTACACCAGGAACCAACTGGAAGGTGAGAAGCCTGTGTGGAACCTGTAAATACAAGTGGAACTATTAGCAAAAAGTTTTGTGCCTTTCATTGCATTTTAGAAAAAAACATTCATCGCCTATTTTATCGTTTGGCAGAAGCACCACAAGAAGCTTTATACAAAACCTTAATTATTATTATTATTTATACAGGATTTATATAGCGCCAACAGTTTGCTCAGCGCTGTACATTATAATGGGAGACACGAGACAGTACAGTAACAATACAATACAATACACGAGGGGTTCGAGGGCCCTGCTCCTTGGAGCTTACAATCTAGGAGGGAGGGGATAGTGGTACAGGAGGAAATAGCTGTGGGGGATGGAGTGGTAGGAAGAGTGGAGGAGTTCAGTAATTAGCTGAGGGCGGGGTAGACTTCCCTGAAGAGGTGGGTTTTCAGAGTGCGCCTAAAGGTGAGGAGAGTAGGTGATAGTCTGATGGATGGGATAGGGAGTTCCAGAGGATGGGGGGAAAGCCCTGGAGAAGTCCTGGAGACGGGCATGGGAGGAGGAGACCAGGGAACTAGAGAGTAGGAGGTCTTGTGAGGAGCGGAGAGTACGTTTTGGGTGGTATTTTGGATACCAGATCAGTGATGTAGTTTGGGGCAGTGTTATGAACAGCTTTATATGTCAATGTTAGCATTTTGAATTTTATGCGTTGGGCAATCAGAAGCCAGTGGAGGGATTGGCAGAGGGGGGGTGGCGGAGACGGAGCGGTTAGTAAGGTGGATGAGATTCATCCGTTATATGACATGAAGACTCAAATGCAAACAAAGTCTGCATGTTTAATACATTCAGTAGTATTTTGCCTTTTGGTTAGAAAAACGCAACGAAATGCATGGTAATGTGCCTATGGACCAATGTCTAATTTACACACAATGAATGCGCACATATTCTTTATAAACCTCCCTAGCGGTCTGATTATGTCAGTATTTCTGTGCTCAAAGCGGTACATTATTTTCAATGGAATATGTATTTTTTTTATTGTAGGCTGTAATTTTTAGGAATAAACTCACTGAAATCTGTCCGAACAAGAGTCTAGTAAACATCCCGGGTAGGATAAAAACTTGAAACACGAATCATAAATTATAATTTAAATAAATAATCATAAAAAATAATAATATAATAATACATTTAATTCAATAATATAATCAAACCAAAAACACTGAAATGTGAAATAGAGCTCCAAGTTCGCACATCACTGAGCAAAGTCGCAGAATCGTTTTCAGTGTCTGATGATGAATTTCCCCCACGAATCATTATCACTCAATTTAGCTGCAAGTGGTTCTGATTTACTATCGCTGTTCTCTAGCTGGTCTAAAACCGCGTCTGACCTAAAGGGACGCTTTTTTTGGACGCCATGGACGTTTCTCAGTTTCCAGGCAGAAAAGAACAGTAAATATGCAGGCAGGGCGCCGGACAAAGCACTCGGGACAAAATGTATGTGAAATGGTTTGATACAGGAATGTTATTACTATCAAATTTTAGTGTATTGAGTTAATGTACAATTTTGACATTTTTTAATTTCCCGACCAGTTCCGTCCCCCGTACGTCCCGACGCTCGCAGGGAGCGGAACACAGAAGCCGGAATCGATCGGAGGACATGTCTGGGGCGATCTCGATGCAGGGGGGGCATCGTGGGAGCGCAAGTGAAAAACAGGGATCGCCGGAGAAGCACTGCAGGGTATTCTGAGTGTAGCTCGAGTTACCGCTTCTGGTACTGAAACTTTACCCCGAACTACACTCGGGAATACCTCCGGGGGGGTTATGTGTATTTTTTTAGACAGGCTGCGCTGTGTTGAGTTTTTTTCTTAGAATGTCATTTTACTTGTCGTAAAACCCTTCCATATACCCAGTGAAGTGACCAGCTTCAGATGATTACACCGAGATTAAACAAATCCTCCTACATAAGTTGTACCTGTTTATCTATACAGTCATCCTTCCCCCACATCCATTCAAAGTGCAGGATTTACAAAGGATCTCTCAGTTCTGAAAAGCAGGGAGCGGGAGCTGACGTTACATCAATGAGAAGAGCTTTGAGACCTGATTGCAGGGAACAGATACCCCCCCCCCCCCCTTCACACAGCACAACAGGAAACAGAACTGAGGTAACGTCAATCTGCTGGAGGTCCCTCCCCTGTCACCATTTTTTCTCTTGTTGTCCGGGAAAAGCTTGATTTATGCTAGCAGAGGAATGAGACAGCAGACAGAAATGACACTTAGTGCTCCTAATTGAGACAAGTACACACTATAGGGGAATATGCTTTGTTCATATGTCATGTCTGAGGTTTCATGTGGAACTTCATTCTCTCAATCAACATTAACAATTTTTTAATTCTTATGCTGCCAGCATTGATAAATATAATAGGAAAGTATATATCATATTTACTTGCTGTTATACATTTTTTTTTTTTTTATTTTTCACTTCTTCAGTTACTTCCTGGTTTCTGGCCTAGGCAAATTATATCATACATCACTTAAAAATGTTTGTCAATGGGTCTGATCACTTGTTCTTTGTTTCAGTTTCTGTAGGTGCCCAATTTACAAAGCAAACAGACATCCCCAGGGCTCAGAGGACTTCTATACAACCCAGAGTGACCAGACAATGAGAGTCAGTGGGAATTCTGGAATGCTCACTCTGTTCAGCCCTCTTCAGATGGGGAATCTGAAACAACGTTTAAAAAAAACCAAAACAAAACACCACAGTAAGGAGCAAACACCATCCCATCAAAAGATTTATTATTGAATAAACAGCAAAAAACCAAACTGCAGTTGTCTCAGGCCTTGATAGGGAACTCTTTGTTCACAAAACGTAACTCTTTCCTCCCTGGATCTAGAGCAGTGGTTCTCAACCTTCCTAACGCCGCGACCCTTTAATACAGTTCCTCATGTTGTGATGACCCCCAACCATAAAATTATTTACCCAGTAATTATATATTCATGAGTGTTGTTTTACCTCCAATACTGCTGCTTTCAACACAGTAGCTGCTTTTAACAGAGTAGCTGCTTTCTACACAGCAGCTGCTTTCTACACAGCAGCTGCTCTTTACACATCGGAAATATGTGTTTTCTGATGGTCTTAGGGGACCCTGTGGGGTCGCGACCCACAGGTTGAGAACCACTGATCTAGAGCATGTTCTCTGATCTGGTTGTTCAACTAATCCTACCTCTGCCCTGCATAACCATCTGTGTATGATTACCCTTACGGACAGGCCCTCCCTCTGTCAGAGGTGGCTTGCTGACATTCCGGATCTGGATGGTGGTGATTGGTCTGACATATGAGACTTTACTTTTAAGCCATTGGTCTATCTAAGGGGCAGGCTCATCCAATTTCAGATAGTCCACAGGGCTTACTTCACCCCTTAATGGGTTAATAAAATGGATCTGGGTGTCTCCCAGAGCTGTTGGAGGTGCCCTCATTCTCCTGGAAAGTTCACCCATATCTTCTGGTCCTGCCCTGCCATTGTATAATTCTGGGAGTCAATCCCTCAAGTCATCCATTCCATTCCAGATCTTGCTGATGCAGAGTAACTGCCTTGTGTCTTGTTGCTGTGCTCAGTCTTGCCATGGTGTATGACCTGTGACATAACACGGTCCTCCGCAACCTCACCTTAGTAGCAGAGTTTGGCTGTTCCTCACCCAGTTTTAAGCCTTCTACACAGCTGTTTCTGTTTCAGTTAATGACTGTCTACATATTAAATTGATGACCATTAGCACATACTTGGTATAATTGGTTAATCATACACCTGACTCTTTGTGCAAGTGTAAGAATTGATGCTGGTTTGAAGCCAAAAGGGTAGTCACACCAAATATTGATTTTAGATTTTTCTTCTTCACTCATTTTGCAAACTGATAAAAAAAAATATACATAGTTGTGTTCAAAATAAAAGCAGTCAGACATCACTAACCTGATCAATCACTGTTTTTGGTAGAAATAATATTTCTACATGGCAAATAATTTCCTAGCAGGTGTAGTAGAGTAATAGAAACCCAACAGACCCAACAGTCATGACATGCATGCTGCTGATTCTGTGTCATTGAATCACTCATTGAAAGGGGCGTGTTCAAAATAACAGCAGTGTGGAGTTCTATTAGTGAGGTCATTCATTCTTTGAATACCAGCTGGCAATTATTGCCCTTATTTAAGGAAGGAAGGCAGCCAATGTTGGACATGCTGGTTACAGTGTATTTCTCTCTGAAATTCTGAGGAAAATGGGTCGTTCCAGACATTGTTCAGAAGAACAGCGTACCTTGATTAAAAAGTTGATTGGAGAGGGGAAAACATATAAAAAAGTGCAGAAAATGATCGGCTGCTCAGCTAAAATGATCACAAATGCTTTAAAATGGCAACCAAAACCTGAAAGACGTGGAAGAAAGTGAAAAAACTACCATTGGAATGGATAGAAGAATAGCCAAAATGGGCGGACTCAGCCAACAATCAGCTCCAGGAAGATGAAAGAAGGTGTGACGTTCCCTGTGAGGACTGTTACAATTAGAAGACGCTGATATGAAGCCAAGCTATCTGCAAGAAGTCCCCGCAAAGTCCCACTGTTGGAAAAAAGACGTGTGCTGAAGAGGTTACAATTTGCCAAAGAGCACATTGACTGGCCTAAAGAGAAATGGCGCAACATTTTGTGGACTGATGAAAGTAAGATTGTTCTTTTTTGGTCTAGTGGGTGGAGACAGTTTGTCAGACGACCCCCAAACACTGAATTCAAGCCACAGTACACTGTGAAGACAGTGAAGCATGGTGGTGCAAGCATCATGATATGGGGATGTTTCTCATACTACGGTGTTGGGCCTATTTATCGCATACCAGGGATCATGGATCAGTTTGAATACATCAGAATACTTTTAAGAGGTCATGCTGCCTTATGCTGAAGAGGAAATGCCCTTGAAATGGGTGTTCCAACAAGACAACGACCCCAAACACACCAGTAAA